CGTGATAGGATGTAGAATCGATGGTAATGTATAGAACGATGTCGCCACTAACATGTGAGCAGTTTGTTGTAACAGATTTAAATGACCTATGCGTTAGTTTCAGGAATCATTTTGTTTATGATAGTCATACACTTGAATTTTTGACTGACACTACTAATAGTAATGACGAAAGCTCGTTATGTACGTGAATGAGAGCGGTTGCATTTTGTTAGTTAATGGTGTAGTTTGGAATCGTGATATAATATTACGTTACTATTCGCTAACATCTATAAGTAATGCATATAGCAGTAAGTGTGAATTAGTCAGAGATCAACTTAATTGATTCGACAACGAAATATTGAAATAGTTTTCAAATCGAATTGGATATGTAAGAAGAGAGAGAGAGAACTATTAAAAACTCGAAATCGTTATGGACATTTCAAACCGGTCTATGTTCGTAGCGTGTGATAAAATACAAAACAGAGAGAGAGAGAGAGAGAGAGAGAGAGAGACGTTAGGTGGACGGAGTTATTATGTATTACTTGATTTCTTTTCTATTCGCAGTAGTCGATGAATTTAAGTACCGTACTTAGAATATGACGTCGGCTCAACACTCGTAGACCTATCTTTGTGAAAAATATCATCAGACAAGAAAACGAACGTTTTCTTCGATTCACATCTATCTATGTAATGCTCAGTATATATCTATATGTCTTTCTGTCTGTTTCTCTGTGCCGAATGAAAGGTTGAAGGTCAGATACGAAATATTCGAGATCGAGGGTTATTGAATGTTAAAGATATACAAGAAGTAGAAGTTAAAGGTTATGAAGCTATCAAATTTGATGTTTAGTATCTCTACGCTTGGTTTTCAATATAACTTGAAATCTCGGATGTCCTTAATTGAAGGTAAGTAGTGACAGTGCAGTATGCGTCGGGTCTCGCTAGTTTGTTGAATACTGTCGTGTTTCACAGGAACGTATTAGTAGAAGACGTATTATGAGTATTGACCAAGAGACTATCAAAAAACTGTTTTCCTTATTTGAGTCTTACAACCTAAACTTATAATTACTTATTCGCTTTGCCGATAGTTGAAAAAAATCCAAAAACCAAGTTTTGAACAATTTGGGACTCTTCAGATGAAATATGTAACATCTGTGACACATTCTGTAATGTGCGTTGCTGAAACGTTAAAAGATTCGGTCGAGTCCAGGACTATTCAACTTTTATTTGCTTATTCTTGATATAAGCAATTCTGCATTATATTCTGATTTTGTTAATCTCTAAAACTCGTATGTGGCTCTCTAAATGGGCTACTGTCATGCTAACTATATGAGTACCAGAGCCCTCAGCAGGCCCTCTTTCCTCTGGCTTGGCCTGCCTATACTAGGTCTGTACACTTCGTTGTCTGCCTGCGCCTGTCACTCATTTCCTGTGGCCTGGTCTGCCTGCCTGCCGAAGTCTGTCTAAATTTTATATTACCATTAAAATGTCAACAAAAACAGTAATCAGTACCGCTGTGGATCAAGAATGCAACGAAATAGTTGAAATAAAGTCAAGCGACTAGATCAGGTATTTATTTAGAAGCAGTTTCTACATGGAACAATGTTCAGATCACATCAGGATCAGGGAGAAGATCTGGCTGTTGCTCCAGAATATTTAGAATAGATCTGACGAATAGAATATCGTTCGAAGTACGAGAACAAAGAGAAGAACGATAAACGACGCTCTGTAACTACGCTATGAGCGACAGTCGATAATTTCGTCGAACAATAACGAAAATACTGACTGAAGAATGGTGCTCGTACTGACGGAGTCGAGGACAAAGACAGAAAAACCAACACGTTAATTTGTTGTTCGTTGAAATTTCAATCAGACATAATACGGAAAAGCTTCCTCGACATGTAGTAACGTCCATAAGCAACTCTGTTTTCTAAGCTAACAATATTTCTGATATTCTTAGCGAAATCTTAGTTGAAGATAAAAAACAATCAGGCCAGCCTTCAAAAACGTGGCCTGCTGAGTACATATTCAGATAAAACAACAAATCATAATACTTCGTTTCGTCTCTATTTCAATGTTGAAAATGGATGCAAATGTTCATGAAAGAAAATAGTTATGATGTCCATTAGTGTGGCAAATCAACAAATGACCCTCAGTTTACATTGATCTTATAAAACTGGTATGGAATTGTAGCAAACGAGATGTTCTATAACTATAAATAAAAGCGTTTAAACGACGAATACTTCTGGATATTGTGCGTGTAGTCAGGTAAAAATATTCGTGATGAAACTCTCTATCCGTTAAAACGCTATGTAATCTGAATCGAGGATGACAGCAGAAATTTTCATAGTTATCATGTGTCTTTTTACGGATTGTTGCAGATATCACGACATGGTTTTCAGGTCAATAAAACGATTGCATATATTTTTGGTGTAAAGGCTTCAAAATTATGATAAGTCAATGTATCCATATCAATTATTAGATATCGATAAATCCCAAGCAGAAAATAGGCGTGAAAACTGCAAATTTGTACTTAAAACGCACAATTCGGAAAGTCAGCGTGTACACGGCAATAATATCGGTTTTCTATGCGATTATATACTAAGAAATGATAGAGTTTATAATTTTTTCTCGTCTTCTCGCCAAAAACAATCAGAATCTTAGTGTTTTCACACCCATTCTGTTTTACACGCGTGTAATCACTCAAAAAACGCGGTGTAGGTCGTGGTATTCTGACAACGTTATCAAAGATGACGAAACGCCGAAAAATTCAGAAAAATCAAAAATTGCCCTTTTTTCACGTAAAATTCGTTTTTTATTAGATAAACGATCTGAGTATATCCTTTCAGTAGAGCATCAGTGGCAATATCGCCGCATTACTTGCTATTATTATAGCTGGCGAGAAAATGAGCTATTTTTATTGATACAATACCCGACCGGTTTTTGGAATATGTAATTACAGTCCGAGCGTGCTCTGATTTTACGATATTTTTACAACTAATTTTTCGTATTTATTAAAGCATATCCTCGCTGATACTTGAAGGTGTATTCGGATGGTTAGTTTCGTGGAGAAATGAAAGGATTCCTATTTAAAGTTTCGTTTTAATCCTATGTCCAAACTCACTCTCAAACAGAACTATTTCTTTATACTTTAACCAACGAATTTGTTTTTGTTATTATAAAACAGGACAGAAAAAGTCTGCACTGATGAGTTTACTTTCTTTCTCTCTATATATACATTAACAGTATTTGATTACTTGTCATTATTTATTCGTTGACACATATGTCCTTATAAAACATTAATATATCAAAACAGTAAACGTTTGGAACAAGATAAATCATTCCATAGATATAATCTGCATATAAAATGTGCGCAGCAAAAATCAGGCGCAATGTTTCTTGGTTGCTAGTGAACATTGATGAAAACAGTAGCAGCTTATTAATTTTACTGCATATACACTGAAGAGAAAAGAAAAACAAAAAAATTAAGAAAAAGCACTTATGTTTCCAAGGTTATTTTTTTGTCCCTTTTTTCTCTTGATGCTGATCATTATTGAGTTGCACTCAAATTATTCGCCGATATTCACCAAAGATATTGCTGATCCGGCGACATTGACTAGGTGACATGTGTACACAGACAGAAATATGCACGTATGTTTTCGCATCCTTTTTTTCAATATTTAGCTATATTGCATATACTTGTCTGTATATAAGGATCCAAGCGTAGTGCAATCTTCAATCATTCACAAATAAACATGTCGTTTTTATCATCCTTGATTAATTATTGTACTGATGTCGGGAGTAAAATAATGGTCATCATCCTTGAAAGGGAGATTGTAAAGATTATTTTCTTTCGTATAAATAAAGATTCTTCTTGGTTCATTTCGACGTCCAAAAAATCTTTAGCATTCTGTTTGTTAATTATTTTATATGTTCTAGATGATTTTAGATTAAAGATACCTTTTAATCTAGTCTATTGCGCTTCAAGAATGGCCTGGTCATACTGGAATTGGATCATAGTGAATATCCTCATTGGTCTTGGCGTAGTTATATTGACGTATACGGTACTAGGTATTTTATTATGGTCGTTTGAGCAAGTATTCTACAGTATAGTTGCTAAACTTTTCAATATTACACGCTGTACTATTGATGTTAATCATACTATTATTCGAGAGAACACTGCAATGTTTACTTCACATAAACATTCGACGAACACTGGTCGTCTCTCCTCAAAAGTTACCTCCTGTTGTAGGAACGATAGAAGTAGAACCACTTTGACAAGCAGTAATTGTTTTTCAAGACTTTGCAGTTGTGTGACACAAATAGCGCCGTATATTGAGAGAGACCGTTTAAGTAAGGCTGCTTCAGATACTATAAGAGTAGTACCGATGGAACTTATACATAATAAGACAGCTCAAAAAGAATTCATTCAAATATCTTCCATCGCTCGCGAAGTGGCATCAGCAAGCAATATCTCGCAACATTCTTCTCCTGCAGAGGTGCATGCAGATAACACGATGGTAACAAAACCTGTATCAGCTGCAACTACGGACACATCACTAGAAATTTTACGAAATCATCCATCCCATCCAGAATATGAACGCGAAGTATTAAATATGTACGGTAGATACCTTACTTTGAACAAAAACAGCAATAAATTCTTAATAATGACAATAAGTGTCATTGTCATTTCATCTATCATTATTGCTGGCATTGAAGGTTGTTTCCTGGCCAGTATTACTGTTTATCCAGATGGTCCATGTCCAATCTATGGTTTAATGGAATGCTTTCATGGTTCAAATTTTACCTATTTTCCATGTACACCTGGTAATACAATTAATTTTACATTATATTCCAATAGTGCGACATGTTTTCGTTGGATTGCTCGTGATGCATCGATATCAAATGTTGTAACACAAATCGGCATTTGTACAGGGTTGTTAACTGCTTTTGGATCTGTTGTTGAAGTCGTCATACGTCTATTACTATTCGTATTTCAACAGCGCCGATGTGTAGCAACTGGAATACGTCGTTTATTAGAAAAAACAGTCGGTATTAATCGAATTACTAAACCTACTCGTTGCTGCGGTATGAAACTACCATTTCAATTCGGTATTCTTGATCTACGTTTATATCAACGTCCCTGGCTTGTGGTCATATTTCTTATACTTTACACCTTACTTCCATTAAGTGTCATTGGTTCAATCGTTCTTCTATCGTATTTTAGAATTAGTATAACGTCATTAACTTATATTATTCTTCTAACGATAGTATTAATATGTTGTCTTGCTCTGTTATGGGTCATTTGGGAAGAAGATGAAATTGGAAGAGTAATACCAGGTGCCTGGCATGACTTTAAAGATATTGTCTCGAAACATCAGCTAGAAAAACTTGTTACGGTAGGTCAAGGCGTGGCTTCAGGAAGTGATCTTAAAAAAATGACTGATCATACCAGAAATTTGCTTCCAAAATCTCAAAAGACACCACAGAATTCTCAAGTGTATAAAAGACTGACTGTTTTCAATCAAGAAGTACGTTAAAAAAAAGAGATTACATGATCAACAATGCTTTTTGACACAAACATCTGTATAACGTCAAAGAGGTTTATAACTTCACTAAATAAACCTTGAAGTGGAAACGCAAACCTTTTTACGGACTACTGTATGGATGAATACGTGTGAGTGCATTATTTTTATCCATGAAACATCGATATTTTTTCGACTAATTTTGATCTATCTTTGATTTCCATAAAGTCTTTCTATATACCGTTGAATGATTAATTGCACTTTAATAAATACGAAGTCAATGGGAGTTTGTCTAATCAAACAGCAACTCATACATCTCACTATTGTGATTACGCACCTCATTGCTTTCTCTATATCAACCTAGAAATGATACTGTTATGAATTCGGTTTTGCACACATGTAAACAGTACATCTATAATACAAACAAAACTGGCAAGATCCAAATAATCTTTTCTTAATTTATATTTCAGATTAATATTTTTTCTGTAACAGTGAACTAACGCTAGAAAAGCCGGTTACCTATGGGAAATAAAGGCGCGAAGAATAATCTAACATATACAGAACTTACATCAAACGGTTCGAAACTTCTTGTATTTGTTGATTAATCGATATCTTTTCTGATTCTACAGAACTTGCTGCTCTTCAAGCAAGTACTAATCTCACGGAGAAAGGTAAAAATAACACATAATTAATAGTTCTACTGCTTTATTTCATCTTAATACTTAGATATCAGAGAATGGCATGCTGTAAGTATTCGTACTATCTCAATTTTTTTCTACTGATAGCTATACAACTAGCATTGCTTTCTTAAGGGGTTCTTTCATGATTGTCCTAATGGTACTCTCAATAAGCAGAAATTTATACAGATCTTTACACAATTTTATGTGGATGATCATCGAGCCGAGTACTTTTGCAAGTATGTCGATGTGTATACTATATATCAATGCTGTTGATTGAGGTTTTATTCAAGTTATGTATTTAAGATGCTCGATAAGAATCAAGATGATGTAATAGATTTTGAGGAGTTTCTTTTCGCTATTTCTTCTTCGAGTCAAAGCGAGTTACAAGAACGATTAGAATTAGCATTTGATATGTAAGTTGATTGGCTATCATTTTACTGCCATTCTCTATGTGTGTTTTTCTTTAGGTACAATGTCACTGACGATGGAAATATGGATGAGGAAGAATTAATTAATCTGATGTCCGCTCTGGTATAAAAATATCTCGTCGCTGGTAACTAATTTTGTTTTATAAGTATTTGAATATTTAGTATCATCTTGTCGGTGACATCAATCGTAAAAGCAATCATAATCTAAGAAAACGTGCCAAAGAAATTATTCAGAAATTTGATCAAGATAACGATAAAAAATTAAGCAAAACTGAATTTATCACTGCGTATAGACATGTTTCTAACTTTGTTTGATTCTCCTGATTTCTATTATTTCTGTCTAGTTGCAATGAAGACAAATATCTAATGGACATGCTTGCACCTAATCAAAAACAAGATGCATAATATATCATTGCAGAACTTCTTTGTTTGTTCAATATTATCAATACGAACAGAATATCTTCTTGTCTTTTTTAATTTGATTCTTATCGCAAATAAATGCTACTACTTTACAAACATTTTAGTTTAATTTTCGATATCCATATTACATTATGGTTTATTGACAAAGAAATTATCAATCATTTTTCTTCTGATGCAATTTTTGATATATAACCAGCTTTTTGTAAATATAAAGCACGTAATACTATTTGTCGTGTTATTGATGAACAACATTGCGAATATACAAGTAACGCGGCCTAGTAGCTGCAAAACCCTCAACTGAAAGGATAGTATTAGAGCGCTACTATTCGTCCAAAGAGAGAAAAAAGATATTTCAGTTGAACGATCTGATTATTTGATAATTGGTCAGAATGTTTCACGTAGACGAATTTCGCTTCCTAAAATCTTCTGAAATTATAACGCCTAGTCGTTTGTCACCCTCTTTCCGGTCGACCACTCGCGGCTAGCCGTTGCATGTACATTTCCTTCTATTCCTTCTTTAAAAGTCACGATCTTTTTGCCGCTTAAAACACTATCGTCTAAAAAATTTGATCGTTTGTCGCCAAAAAAAGACGGGTCAGAAAGTGTTCGTGAAAAAACTAACACCGGATTCGAGAACCTCGACCTTGATTACCTTTCGATCAACCCTTACTATTATCAACTACCACTAGGTAATATTGAAGGGAAAATGAATGAACGGACGAACATCATCTGGTTTTTCGATGATACCATCTCGACGCACTACCCTCTTTTCAGTGGAGGGAATTAATGAAACTGTTCAAGAAATGGTTGATCGTGTATTTGTCGATCATTGGTTTTATTGTTCCTTCTTACGAAGAATGTTATCAACAATGTAATCCAAAATTGTGTAAGTACTTATTCTGTTGTTGAAAAATTTAATGCATTTCGTTTCCATATCGCTATTTTAAGTTTATATGGAGGATTGCTTACTACTTTAAAATTAATTATTCCACTGATTATCAAAATTATCTGTCGACCGTTTTTTTAAATGAAGAAAAACACCAATGAACACTTCACCTTTACATTTGTCGAATTAAAAGTACATTCTTATACATATGATTTTAGATATTGAAATCATAAGACAATAAAGTAAATATAAGTTATATGAATTCAAATCAGAGCTGTCGGTCTGGCTTGCCGTCTGCTAGGAGAATAATTTTCTTTTTCTTACAGCTATATGGAATCATAAGATATTAGGTTTATTATTTATTTGACACTGAAAAAGAATGCAATCGCTTGCTTTAGGCTGAATATAGGAAGTTTTTTTTAAAATAATTTTTGGCAACATCTCCCGTAGTGAATGCCAATTGAATGTTATTTTTCCTCAATTTCTTCTGGCTCACGTACGTATGTCGTTTGATGACTTTTAGACTAAATCTATATAGTCAAAGATAAAAGAGTTATTATTGTTGTGAGATGAAAATAAATTATATAATTAGATTTGACCATATACGTCGATCCAGAGTTTTCAAATATTTTTTTAACTTATTTTAACATAAATTATATAGACACTAACGTTGATCGTTCCAATCAATTAGTTTATTGAAATTTTTTTGTTTCAAAAGGTAGGAAATATTTCTGCCTAGCGCACTCAAATTCAAATGATTTAAGTTTGTGTAATAACTATTTGTTCTGTATTTTTTATCAGATTATCCATTAGTTCATCATGTGTTGCTAATTCTTGACTTGCATAGTATTGTGTTGTACTAGCAAAAATAAAAACTCTAATAAGAGCAGCGAAACGTAAAACTGCTTCCATATAACCATATCGATAGATCATATATTTAAACAATATATCAACATATATATTTTGAATGTGTAATAAATAATTTGAATTTGAAAACGATCGAAATTTTTGCATAGAATCATTATTACCTAAATTAAATGAACGAANAACCTTGAAGTGGAAATACAAACCTTTTTACGGACTACTGTATGGATGAATACGTGTGAGTGCATTATTTTTATCCATGAAACATCGATATTTTTTCGACTAATTTTGATCTATCTTTGATTTCCATAAAGTCTTTCTATATACCATTGAATGATTAATTGCACTTCAATAAATATGAAGTCAATGCGAGTTTGCCTAATCAAATAGCAACTCATACATCTCACTATTGTGATTACGCACCTCCTTGCTTTCTCTATATCAACCTAGAAATGATACTGTTATGAATTCGTTTTTGCACACATGTAAACAGTACACCTATAATACAAACAAAACTGGCAAGATCCAAATAATCTTTTCTTAATTTATATTTCAGATTAATATTTTTTCTTTAATAGTAAACTAACGCTAAAAAAAATCCGGTTACCTATGGGAAACAAAGGAGCGAAGAATAATCCAATATATACAGAACTTACATCAAACGGTTCGAAACCTCTTGTATTTGTTAATTACTTGATATCTTTTCTGATTTCATAGAACTCGCTACTCTTCAAGCAAGTACTAATTTCACTGAGAAAGGTAAAAATAACACATAATTAATGGTTCTACTGCTTTATTTCATAATAATACTTAGATATTAGAGAATGGCATGTTGTAAGTATTCGTACGATCTGAACTTTTTTTTCTACTGATAACTATACAACTAATTAGCATTGCTTTCTTAAGGGGTTCTTTCATGATTGTCCTAATGGTACTCTCAATAAGCAGAGATTTATACAGATCTTTAGACAATTTTATGTGGATGATCATCGAGCCGAGTACTTTTGCAAGTATGTCGATGTGTATACTATATATCAATGCTGTTGATTGAGTTTTTATTCAAGTTATGTATTTAAGATGCTCGATAAGAATCAAGATGATGTAATCGATTTTGAGGAGTTTCTTTTCGCTATTTCTTCTTCAAGTCAAGGCGAGTTACAAGAACGATTAGAATTAGCGTTTGATATGTAAGTTGATTCGATATCATTTTGCTGCCATTCTCTATGCTTGTTTTTCTTTAGGTACAATGTCACCGACGATGGAAATATGGATGAGGAAGAATTAACTAATCTGATATCCGCTTTGGTATAAAAATCTCCCGTCGCTGGTAACTAGTTTTGTTTTATAAGTATTTGAATATTTAGTATCATCTTGTCGGTGACATTAATCGTAAAAATAATCCTAATCCAAGAAAACGTGCCAAAGAAATTATTCAGAAATTTGATCAAGATAACGATCAAAAGTTAAGCAAAACTGAATTTATTGCTGCGTATAAACATGTTTCTAACTTTGTTTGATTCTTCTGAGTTCTATTATTTATGTCTAGTTGCAATGAAGACAAACATCTAATGGACATGCTTGCACCTAATCAAAACCCAGATGCATAATATATCATTGCAGAACTTCTTTGTTGGTTCAATATTATCAATACGAACAGAATATCTTCTTGTCTTTTTTAATTTGATTCTTATCGCAAATAAATGTTACTACTTTACAAACATTTTAGTTTAGTTTTCAATATCCATATTACATTATGATTTATTGAAAAAGAAATTATCAATCATTTTTCTTCTGATGCTATTTTCGATATATAACCAGCTCTCTTTTCTAATCCAGCTTTTTGTAAATATAAAGTACATAATACTATTTGTCGTGTTATTGATGAACAACATTCCGAATAGACGAATACGTAATCACTAATTATACAAGTAACACAGCCTAGTAGCTGCTAAACCCTCTACTGAAAGGATAGTATTAGAGCACTACTATTGGTCCAAAGAGAGAAAAAAGTTATTTCAGTTGAACGATCTGATCATTTGATAGTTTGTCAGAATGTTTTACGTAGATCAATTTCCCTTCTTGAAATCTTCTGAAATTATAACGTCTAGTCGTTTGTCGGCCTCTCTCCGGTCGGCCACTCACGGCTAGCCGTCGGTACCTAATAAGTGTTTAATGATATTTTCATATTGAAAAATACCTCGTTCTTGTTGAGTCCGTCTCTATCAAAGTTGCCGAAATTCTTCACAACTTCGTGATCTACAGCATAGATGGAACCGGTCTGAATTTTTGACGACCGGTATCGGTACCGGTCTACCGGTTTCTTACCAGTCTACCGGCGTCTACCGGTCTACCGGTTTCTTACCGGTACACCGGTGTCTAGCGGTCTCTACCAATAAAAAAATCTTTTTTAAACAGATGATTAACACATATCTCGAAAATTTTACTAGCTTATACTTAATTAAACACGAGCTATTTAATATCTTCATTTTCATTTTATTTCTTACAGATAATTTTCATTTCATTTCATAGTTTTTTCAAATGCAACAGTATCAGTATGATATAATACAAGTATACGTATAAGCTAAAACAAAAACAATTAATTCATTAAATGAATGTATATAAAATAATTCAGTTCTATCATATTGATATGATGATCTACAGCGAAACGATATCAGGAGTAAGTGTTGTGCTGTTGTTTTGACTTCCAGATTTTTCTTTATCATCTTCGGATGAACAATCAGGCCATTGACCATTAATATAACATTCACGAAGAACGACTAACGATTCAACCGTCGAAGCACTAGCTCGACTACGTTTTTCAGATACTATAACACCACCAGCTGAGAAATGACGTTCCGATTCGGAGCTAGATCCTTGTATAACAAGAATTCTCTTAGCAATAATAGCTAATAATCGTAAACGTTTTTCGTTTGTACGCCAAAAATCGAGAAGTAGTAATGATGGATTGGCTGAAGTTGAAGTGGTTGAAAATGAAAGTTTACTGTACTGAGCTAATTCAGCAGAAAGTTCATCTTTAATGTTTAATTTTGAAGGTTCTGAGGATGAACTACGTAATTGAGCAAATGGATCAATAGATACTTCAGTTCGAGCTTTTTTCAATGGCGGTTGTTGATCGGTCTATACACTCGTACAAAATATAAAATTAGGAAAATATTCGTCTTTACTTACAGAGTTATCAATGAGATCCTTTTTTTCATTTTCAATATCATTTGCCATTAGAATTAAACCATCTTTTATCGATTTTAATTGAGTAGTTCGGTAAGATTTGTCGCTAACAAACGAAAGTTCACGAAAGGATGGATCCAAAAATGTTGCTATCCAATGAATTTGCATGATACTTTGATTATATCTAAATATTACAATCAAAGTGTTTACAAAGAATAATGCTACACACACAAAACATACTTTTCATTGAGAGCCGTTTGTAAATTTTCTTTGAGTGCTTTGATTGCTGGTCTTTCTTGTCCATTGAGTTGCGCCATAGCCAGCATTGCATAATATGATGGAACAACAATATGTATTGTTGGTGTCGTGCTGAATTCCAATGAGTTAAAAATCGGTACAAAACCTTTCATCAGTTCCACCACGTTCAACAACAAATTCTTGTTAATTGCTAATATACGACTTTCTTCGTACATTGGAGAAAGAACATCAATAAGCTTATCATATGAAATCAATACTAAAATATTTGAAATAAAATTTAAAAATAATTGATCATGTATAAAGGATCATTATGATATAAAATTTATTCTCACCACTATGATATACAATATAATATGATCGCCATGGTCGTGTAGCACTGTTTCGTTTTATTGTCATGGGAAGACGTGTTTGAATATTTCCACTTCGTGCAATGAATGCTCGTAATTCTGAAACATAAGTTATTAATTGATCAAATTCTGGACAAACAATTCTCGTTGCTTCCCAAGCAGTTTCTAATGTTGTTGACGAACGATGTGCCATACAAGGCAAGCGTATTTCATTTTTTAATGATGCTTTTATATTTGCACCTTCATCTGTTGTAATAGGAGTATCACCAACGATAAGGTTGAACTCATTGAAGATCGATTCAATCTCTGCCCATAAGTTAATTGCTGTTTTACTTTGCTCTTCAAAATGTTTACAACGAAGAAGTGCATGGTGTTGTCTCCAAGAATCATCAATCCAACTAAAAATTTAAATAATCAATATAAAAATAATTAATTAAATTTTACTTTTATTACTTACAACACAGTAAAATCCAGATAATAACGACCAACGGCATCGTCTCGCCACAAATCGGTCGTGGCTGACAATGTACGCTCAATGGCGTATTTTTGTATTTCTTTCAGAATTTGATTTTTGTACATATTGAATTTTTTATCACATTCATCTCGAATTGACTTCCGTCCGTACCAAATATCACGAACATCGACTTTACCACATCGAGCACCTATATCAATGCACGTTTGAGCAAGAGTTTGAAGACCACTATGTTCGACGCTTTTGAAAGAGTGCATACCTATGCAGAAGAAAACATTAATTTGAACTTTTGTTAGCATTATATAATATTTTACCTCCAACGACAAATTTAGCTTCGGCTTCCTTCAACTTCTTTAACCCTTTCCGGCCGGCTACCAGAAAACAGCAAGCAAAATATTTTCTTTATATATATTCTTGTTACTTTAGTTATGAGAATCAATTTTTCAGCCCCGAATTTTTGGAGAATCCCGTACCCCCCTACGGCAAAATTGTATCCATATGGATACACCCGGCTGGAAAGGGTTAAGATACTCGAAACAGGCGAGGCAGGTAAGAAGCCATTAACGAACTTGGNTGTCTAAAAAAGCTTAAAACTATGAAAATCGCCAAAACTTGTTGTTTAAAATATTACTCTTCAAAACAACATTTTTCGGGCGAAGTATTACTTTGAGTGGTTAGCACCAGATGATGTTTGTGTAATATAACGGTTTACGTAATCGTAATTTCATCAATATGTTGATGAGTATGAATATCCAACAATCGGACGTTAATCAGCTATTTCGTTTTGTTCTACATGTTGCTGCTTCAAATACTATCGCCTACAAAAAGTTCCTTCCAAAACTCGTCCCTTATCCGAAAAAAACAGGACAGAATTTTTCTACTGAAACACTGACACCGGATTCGAATTGCCCGATCTCGATTACCTATCTACTAGTCGATCTCTAGCTGATAAGGGTGAATTTAGATGATTTAAGAAATCCTCATTTCTGATTGGCTTGGACAAACAAACTTTTAACGATTTCTAACGCGGCTATAACCCTTTCTTTCGGAAAAGGGAATATTGTATGAACACATATTTCTTTTTTTCCTATTCATAGTCTACGCGATACGAAAACTACCTGAATGAAATTTCACCGTCTATACTATTTCTTAACGATTCTAATTGCGTATCTGCTCTTTCCTAAACATAAGGAAACGTTCTGGGAAGTATAGTCACGTTAGCTAATAATAATAAATGCGGTGACTTTGGACTTCATCTGGAAATTATGTGTACTACAAAAAGTGTGTCATAGAGATCAGTCATTCAGAAGATATACTTTTCAGTATGAAAATTATCGCGAGAAATCTTTTCGATGAACCTACGCGCTTGTATGTGTCGCAATTACATTTGTGAGCAACTTCATCTATATATAGGAAACGTGATAGGCCAGCGAAAGTAGTCGACATCAGTTCAGAATCTTGAAGATTAAAAGCTTTGTACGTGTGCCAACGATAGAGGATATGAGGAGGGTTGCATGTGAAAACTTTCACCTATCACTACAACATTTGTTTTTTCATAAACATCTTATATTGTATAGCAATCGACGTCCACTGGTTATCTAACAGCTCTCGCTAGACTAGATTTTCAACAGTTATTAACAACACAAAAAAACAACGGAATAGAACTACACTGTAGAAAACGAGTGTAATATAACAAAAACCTTTGAAAGGATTTTTTAACTTCATAAACACTATCATATGCCATAAGGTGTTTATAAAAGTGCAACGTATAGTATACCCCTTCTAGTATTGATAAAGATAAAAGGTTTATGAAAAAATACGTCATTTTATAAGAGTATATGAGAGTGTTTATGAAGTTAAAAAACCCTTTTGAAGGGTTTTGTTATTCTGCACTCATTTTTTTAAGTATAGCTCAATAATGGTTTTTCTTTATCGACGAAGCATCCAATCAACAACAGTGCATAGAGGGCACTACGGATCAATAAAAAATATTTTTGGTATTTTCAATTCCGCTATACAAATTAATGTCGTCATCGTAATCATAAGTGATTAGAAAACTTTTTCGTGACTGTGGCCGTGAACGAAATTGTCTATCACGAGCAACACTACCATCTATACTGAAAAAAATCCGCATAATAATCAACCCTTGCCCTAAAGAAATTTGTCAATAAACCTTTCAAGGGTATATATCTATGTTACTAATCCTTCAAAGGTTTAGTATCCAAATCGTTTATGAAACTTAGGGTTTATCAAAGTTGAAGTGATATATAATAATTATATATGAATTTATTGTTCTTTCATACCAACATGAGAGTATGTTATTCAACCAAGCCTGATAGATTATAATCTGCATCTTGAGCAAGGGTATGTTATCGTTCTCTTTTATATTTATCATGCTACCTTCTAGTTGGATGCGTACATCCTTCTACTTTCCATGATACATTATTCTACGGACAAGGGGAGATTCTTGTATGCTCTCCATCAAGAAGTTCATTAATCTTCATGTAAGAGTTGATCAATCTGCGCTTTAATCAAAAGATTTCTTATTGTCCACAAAAAAGATTGTTTAGAAGCCGTTCTCGACAGAAAGGTTTATCATCCTCCGTGGTGAAGTTTACTCGTGTTCACTTTCATTGCAGAAAGTTTATCATTCATAGTTAGAAATAAATAAGACGATCTGCTTTTTCAAGCGACTCTTTAGTTTTTATTTACATTTCTCTTCGTAAGAAACTCTTCAAATCGTTTGGAGCAATGCGATTTCGTACGAAGGTTTAAGTGAAAGTCGTTTAACAAAAATTTCTCATAAAGATTCGAGATAAAACGAAGTGCTATCCCCATCTATTGATTTGTTTTGTGATTAGATTAAACGCACATCAGCAGTGACAGCTTAATAAAATGAAATAGAAGAGAAGAGAAAGTTTCGGTGGTATTTTTTCTTATAAAAATACCTCTTTTTTCTCTAGTATTGCTGTTTTGCAAATTTTTAGATAATTGACCGGTATCGAATCCTTCTCAACATCACACCGTTTCCGTCTTCGTGTGTTTATCATTGATAAATGGATTGGACTTGTGAACAGTGTGCCAACAGACACGTCTATCTCCATATTATATCTTATACGCTATCATTTGGATATTTCAATTATGACATCGCGTCCTTGCTGATGTTCGCATTATGAATATTACCTTGTACTGTCACTGTTTGTTCTCTTCTCTTTCTGTTCTGTGTAAAAGACGGTGCTCTATATTGTATTAGACACAACTGAAGTATCGTTAATGAAGAGAACACCATCTACATACGAGAGAATAGCGATACTGCTATTCTTCCAGTTTGTCATTGTGATAGCAATTGAAATAAAAGAAGTACGCTGCAGCCAAAATGAAATAGCATTCATTTTCATTTTTATATTCCATTACAAACAGATGGTTGAATGGTGTGGAACGTTCATCAAGGATGATTCTATTTTGTCACGTATCACAGGTCAGTCTGTTTTGATTAGCTAACCGTATGCGCTAGTATTTTTGCAAATACTTCAACCTATAGTTAAGTATTCTAAATTTCAGCATTTATATCGCTAAGCATATCTTAGAAATCAGTATTTGATAATGCAAACATCCAATTGCGTTTGTTTATCTGTATTTCATTGGCTTGTATTAGGCGCTATTCCTTTTTTCTTTGCCATGTCGTTTAAGAAAGAACATGTAAATAAACAAGTAAATTGAAAAAGCGGTTGGTTAATATACACAAAATAAGACGAATTTCTGTAGCAGCTGAGAATTTTTCGTATCAAAGTCTCATCTCGTCATTTATCTGCCCACTTTGCGCAACGAATAGAAATTTTGAAAGTTTCTTAAAACTGTTTCGTCACAAAACACTACCATCAAAGTGATCCAAATTTTGAAATCAAATGTGATTTAAATAACACTTGTGGCGTGTTGTACAAAAAATACTCCGCGTATAAATCACACGTATATCGAAAAAATTTAATGGAACTCCATGCGTCAGCAAACGAAAACAACAATATCGACCCGATTTCCAGCGATAGTTCACAACAAAATAACGTCAACACTACAACTGAAAATGAACTTGCGAGTGATGACGAGAGCAATGAATCCACCAATACAAAAGACGAAGCCGATTCAATTTTGTCAGATGACTCTGATGTATCATCATATTTCCCGAACGATCACAATGAAGAAGTTGATAGTTCAATAAATAACATTAAAAAGTCATTTTTAATGTTTATTTTACAACTACGTGATGATTTCTTGCTACCCAAAAACGTAACAAACATTATTTCAACATATATTGCTTCATTAATTAATCGCATTGAAATATTATAGAAAAAAACGTTCAATTTTTCCGGAAATAGCCATTTGTCTCCATCATTGATTCCTCAAGTTGATCTCAGAAAATGTATTAATTTCAATCAATGATAACTCGTATTCGGTGATGTTTGCAATGGAATCGAGTTAATAACCAAGGACGAGTACCAGTTTACCAAGTATTGCGAAGAATATTTCAAGTTTGCTCCGTCACTGGAAATTTCCACATCATCTGTTGCTGGCGACACTGACTGTGGCTATTTTATCTCGATTGACAATAGTTTGTCTTTGATGCTTAATTCTCAGCAATTTTCTTACGAAATTCTCGAAAATATTCAGCAACAACAGACAATAACTGAATTGGATAATGATTTCATGTTTTCAATTGGAGATATTTACCATGACTCGAGATTGGATGATAATCATTTCTTAATTCAACTATACATCGACGATATCAGATTGGCAAACCCGCTAGAATCGAAGCGCGATCGATATAAGATGAATATGATGTATTTTACACTAGAAGATATACCAGATAAATACAGATCGAAGCTTGATTTCATTCAACTTGTTACAATATGCGAGAGTAGAATCTTAAAGGTAAAAATCTTCATCAAAATGTAAATAAGAAAAGAGTTTTAATGAGTGAGAAAATATTGAATCGATCTGAGTGGAAGTAGAATGAATTGCTTTTGTCGAATATGTACTCTCTTTTTGCGTTTCTTATACGTAATACTACAAAGATTATGTCAATATGATATAAACCTAGTTTGTAGCAGCAAAAATATTTTGTAATACACATGGAATATATCAGAATATTTGGTTCATTCGAGAATCCTGCCAAGGCAGAGAACTTTCCCCGGCCAATTATCGACAATTTAAATGAACTGTAACTCAATGATCTTATGATCAATGATATTCTGAATAAATTTACATTTTCAACTGTTGTTGGAGATAACCTAGCAGCTATGAGAACGTTAAGAAAGCATGTCTACGAATTCATGTTCGATTCATAGCTTGAACACATCTGTTCAAGGAGAATGATCAACTATTTCACGTGAAACGAAAGGCGTCAACCACTATTTTTGTATCAGTCTGTGGAACTAACTCGTCACCTTGTCTTATGCGACAAAAAGAGGGCACCCGCGGGGTCTAAGAGGCAGTTCCTTGGTGCGCTCAACGATGATTTATTTTAGAAAGATTCATTAAAACAAATTTGTTATCGTCTTTACTCTTTGAAGTACATGTAACATTCGGATTTCTATCCTAGGTTTTCGCATTTATTTTTCTCTATTTTCTTTCTATTTCATTTTTACGCATTCAAATCTCAACTAACTTTCCAAATCAATTGTGGCATATATGTTAATAAATCTCTGTTCTAACAATCGCAACAGATTTATCCTGTTTCACATTTCTAATCTCGTAGAAACTGCGCTTACAGCTTTTTGAATCCAGTCGTATTATCTTTATTCATCTGTATCACAGCAAGATAATATCCTTTACACAGACAGAAAAACATCAATTAGAGAAAAAAGAGACAATAAGTGAAAATACTAAAAAAGCACGTTTGTCCAATAAAATCAAACAATTTTAAAAGTTTTTTCTTCAAATTTGTTTTCGGTCCTTGAGACGCTTGGCACGCACTTGATTTTTGAAAAAATCCCAGTTAAAGCTATTTTCTGGAGGCATCCAATTAAAATCTCCATTACCGCTGCTGCTGCTACTACTACTACTATCACTGCCGCTACATTGGTAGCTGGTTGAGCCTATACCATTTGTACATTGAGTTGGATAGTTGCTTTGACATGCTGACTGACAACCTGATGAGCCACACGATGAGATCGTAATTGAACCTAACGATGGGGGCGTACAACCATTACCACTGCAACATTGGCATGTGCATGTAGCACCATTACAATAATAAATACTGGCTAAGATCCAGATGAGAACGATCATCAACATTGTTTGATTTTGCATTGTATGATAGAATATGTCTAATATCTTAATAGATACTTAATATAACGAAAAATATCTCTTTACTGAATAATGAATAGCGTGCAAGCATTATCTCCTTTATATACGCATACCATTGCGTGGTTCTCCATTTCGTATGTGGGAAGAGAAAAAACTTCGTCACCTATAACTAAAAATAGAATACAATGACGTATCTTTTATCCTTCGTCTATACGTGTACTATTGTGTGTTTCTCCATTTTGTGAGTGGGCAGAAAAAAACGCAATCATCTGTAACTGAAAATAAAACGAGGGTGTGAGTGTGGGTAAGATTGGCTGCCATAATCGGTTTCGACTGATTTCCACAGTCTCATCAGATGGTTTGAATTCTAATATGATTAACAAAGATTATTGGTTAAAGGAATTTATTCTTGTTATCCTTTGTATTGTCTAGTTGGAAGGGTGTATCAATCATGTTCTAAGGTCATTTTGTCTTTTTTCTTTGGATGGAGGAAAAGAAAAGAAAATTTTTATCTTATAAGAATAGAGGAAAGAGTAATTTCATTTACATTAGTTTTTGAAAGAAAATGGCCAACGTTAAGCGATATTCTCATGGAAGATATGTTAGGACTGCTATTCCATCAAGGAGCAGAGCTTCTGGTGTTGATAAAAGAGTAAAATACAAGGCGCAGTGTAGTAATATTTTTTTTGAGAAGATGGTGATGTTTCGATGGAATTTGATTACCGGCAAAACACTGGTGCTGATTCAACTGCTATTCGTTTACGTTTAGGTCGAAGAGTTACAACCGTTCCACCATCTCCATCAGCAACTATAATTCATGGAGAGATTACACTGAGAGATGAAGGGTGAAAAGCGATCGTCGTTATCAAGGACGATCGCATCGGTGTTACGCTTGAATTTGCGTCAAGTATCAACGATCGAAATACATTCAATATCATTATTCCAGAAGCAAGTAATGAATTGTTTTTCTTCTGTTGTTCTTCTTTCTTCCTCGTGTTCTGTCACTGCACGCGGTGGTGCATTTTTCTCGCTGTTGTGAATTTGATATTAACTCAGCAATAAATTTGTTTGATTCTTGAATAGAAATTTTTTTATTTGCATTAATATCATTTAAACCTTTGAATCTCGGTTTTTTTTCGACAAAAATCGAATTTCTTATAAGAAGTTTTGCAATATAATCTTTATTTTTTTAGAAAAGAAAGTATTTTTGATACTAAAAATCTATTAGTAGCTCATTTTTATTTGATAATCTTTCAAGAAATCGGGAATACATAGAGAAGCATCACAGTCAGGGCGCAAATATCGTGTATCATGTCGAATACTGTGCGATGTGCAAACGATGCATTTTTCTTTGAGACTGCTTGGATTGTGATATTTGTAGAATAGGTAAAAGGAATTGGCGAGCACTTAAACGAAGAGGATATTCTCTTGTCAATGGTCTTCCATTGCGGTTGATCTTTACGATCTGTATTCTGCGAGGATTCCTCTAATTATTTCAAGACGAAAGTCAGATAGACGATACGAAGTACTGTTCTGCAGTTTGTAAATTACAGATGCATTATATATTATTGCCATATGCAATAAATGGAAAAAAGCTTCTTGTACCATTCTACTGAGTTTTCGTGAGCATTCTGAAAATGACCTCTGTATATATCAACATGGTCCACTGCACCCGTATATTTGGTGTGGTCAATAATGCAAACAGGGTTCTGAATTTCTACTCCAGTTTGTGGATCTATTTTTACGAACTGAACCACATGCACCCATTTTATTACGTTGTAAGAGTTCAAAAGGAGCTGGACTTGTACACCAGTTGCCAACGTAAAAATGGTGCCCTTCATTCGGATATCGACGCATGAGTTCATTAACGATTGATCCACTCGATCCTATGTAAATGATGTAGTTGAGGATGAATTTAGGTTCACAATGAAGAAGCTGAAATAATTTTATTCGGAATCGATGACGCTTGAATGGGATATACTGCTTGAATCAGAATCTTCCTCTCCATAAGACCAAGCTTTCATCGATACAAAGGCTCTGTGAAGAGTTCATACAGTTTGTAAACTTTCGCCTGAAGTCATCTATGATTGATTTGACTTTCTCAAGTCGATTAGTTTTGAAGATATCACGATTATTTGTAAAGTATATATAGTGTAGAATGTCTTGATACCGATTTCGTGTAAAATACTGACCAAAGATGGTGTGTAGCTAGCAACGGATCAGTGCTCCAGTAGTCTCGAATCCTACTTTTACCAATAAACCCAGTAAACATTGTGATCGCAAGAAATGTGCACATTTCAATAACAGTCACATTTTGCCAGTTTGACATATGTTGTCGTTCACCTATTTGATTCAGTAGATAATAACGATTGACTTCATCAACTATGTGCTGCATTATAACCTCATCAAAAAATAATTGAAGATGATCAAATGTTGTTCTCTCAACATGTGAAATTGTATTTTTGTAAGCCAAGTTGAGGAATGAACTGAAATTACGTTAGAGTGAATGTCCTACAGTGCCACTGACATTCTTCTGCAGACTCTTCATCATCAGAACCAATAGTCATATAATCAAAAGTTGTAAAAGTTCATCTTCTGACGACAGGTCAGATCCAGAGTTATCCATAGTTTTTCCAATTTCTTCCTCATTCAAGCATCATTTCCTTGAAGTTGTCGTTGTGAAAGTATATAAGGTTGATCGTTAAATAAATGATTATTAGCCAAATAAGAATGTATTCAATGTATTCTTACACTTATCTTTTACTTTTCGAATGATTTGTGTATTATATATCCCACCATTTCGAAATGAAAAGAACTTACTAGATTCTGTATATAGGACAGAGCTTTGTAGAAAGAATTTTTCATGATCAATATAAACAAAAGAACAAAAGAAAGCATGCATATATGAAACAACGAATGACGATGCTTGTCTAGCATCACCTGATAAAAGACAAACAAATGTTCTAAATAATTAAAAAATGTACTGAGAACACCTTTTTACAATAAATGCCTTCGGATATATATATACGTCGCCAGGACTCAAAGAGTTAAAAATTGATGTAAAAGATGAAAAATTTCTTCAAGAACAAATAAATAAACCAGAAACGTCTTCAAGTATTTTTTTTCTTATTTCACTTTTTATGATAATTCAGGAAATAGAGCCAAACAAATATTTCCTGTAGCTTAATTCCCAAAAGAATTTCTATTTATTTTCTTTTATTTAAAAATGAAGAAGAGCGTGTTAATCCACATGTTCATATTAAATAAACTCAAGAAAAATTAATTAGAATTTAAGCTAAATTAAAATTGATTCATTTCAACAAGTCACCTTCTTCTTTGTTTTGAATCTTTTCATCTTTTAGGATTTTCTTGCATATAGAAATTATAAAACATCACTATTAAATAATCAAAAACAACTAAATAAATATTTACAACTATTAATAGGTAGTAACATTTCGTAAATGATTTTTTTCTGCTCTTTATATTTAAATTACTTTGAAAACAATATCTTATCATTTTATAACCAATATTCAATATATATTCTTAATTTTTCTTAGACTGCTATCAGAATATATTTTATAATCGCATAGTATTATGACATCCATTAACATTTTCAATCTTAGATATTTTTCGTATATATAGTCAGATATATGAGAATAGAATCTGTTTCTTAAGATTGTTGTACTATATAATATCCCAAAGATATCATGAGAAAATAAAATGATAAAAGAGTTTTAAAGTTAAATATTTTATGTATATTGATTATCAAGAAACAACTAGAAATAAAAATAATCCATACTAAAATAGCGACTATTTTACCGAAACAGATCTTTAGAGTAGAAGTCATGTAACAATTCCCAATCACTTTCCATCAGATCTTGATAGAAAACTATCGAACTATTCGGATTCAAATTGCAAACATTATTCAGAACCGTAGAACCCATAGGAAACTTCCCTATCTAAAATCCATCTTCCAATTATGTATTATCTGAAACTTCCAAACTTTTCGTCATTATTAATTTTCCGACAAAATAATTCATTCTTAATCACTCTGAAAATATACGACAAAGCTTGTTGTCACCAAAGAAAAACATTTTCATTGTGTCAGTCAGCATTCAAAAAGATTTTTTGGTGGATTAAAATCACATTATTAATCCTGAAAAAAATGCAAACGTTCTATTTCTGAATTTTTGAGCCGATTATTAATCTGATTTCAATCTTCTCAAAAATTCATTAAGAAATTAATTTCTTATAAAACAGGTGACATAAAAAATATAGATCACCATAAAGTTGGATTTTAATTCTGTGTCATTCTGACGATGCAATTTTCATTTTTTCCAATGTATCACATAGTTTGGTCGAAATTTTATGGATTCTATAAGTACTGATGGGCTATGCTGAGAAGGAGTGGGATACATGTGTCCGATTCCAGATGTTTATATTTTTAAAAAGCGATCATAATTGCCGGCATATCATGGAAAAGTCTGAAATAATTCGGAAATGTTCGGAGAGTTTATTCTGTTTTCGTCTCCTTCTTTTCATATCAGTTCCAGAAAGGATACGAGGGATTATATCGAATTCATACTACCAATAGGATTTTAAAGAAAAGCCGTGTGTCATTTGTTTGAAACTTTCGCGAAGTCGAATCCAGTGAAGTCTGGTCTGGAACACTTCTTTCACATTTTGGCCATTTTTCTCTGGGGATCATTGGTGGTGAATAGGAAAAGGGGTGCTTTCCGTTCGGACCTGCAGACTGGAAGCATTGTCCTAGGAAATTTAAGATTATTCAATTTGTTTTCTTTATTTTATAAATCAGATTTAGAATATTTTTAGTTTTATTTTGTTAATCGATAAGTTACTGAAAATCTGCAAGTATTTAATAAGAAAACAACTCAATGGCTGAAGTTCAAAAGATTATTTTATTTTTAGAAGTTTTTGCAACTTGGAGAACAAGATATTTTAACATAAAATATTCTATTTAAACTTGGATTTTTCACGTATTT